ACTTGTCGTAGGAAATGCTGTTGATTGTCCGCAAGAGGGCGTCCAGTGATGGTTGTGAAGTCGACTGAGAGTTCCTGTGAAAAAAATCACACTGAGCTTGTTAGGAACGCTGCAAGCACTTTGACTCATAACTACATCATGTATATTACACCAGGTTTGCTCCGCCCGCTATCGCGCGCATCACAGGGTAGGGAGGAACCACGGAATAGCAGCATGACGTACTCCATTAACCACCTCACTATTGAATGTGTTATACCTCCTTATACCCCTTCTCTCCGGCGCATGGCAGCACCATGTTCTCCCTCCCTTTCTCCTCTCCCCCTTCCCTTCTGCTTTCCCCCCCTCTACCGCCCGCCGACTCCGGCTGCCCCGGCAGCACCATGTAGAATGAGGCTGAGTGTGCTCGTTCGGTGTTTTTGTAGCCATTGTGGGTGTTATCACAATCACCACATCAGGTTAGAATAATACGTCAACATGAATATAGACCTTACTCTTAAAAACGGTCGTTCTCTCTCAGTCTCTCCTCCCCACCTCCCCCTCCTTATACCCTCCTCTCCGGCGCATGACAGCGCCATGTTCTCCCTCCCTTTCTCCTCTCCCCCTTCCCTCCCTCTTTCTCTCCTCCCCCTCCCCCTCCCCCCGCTCATCCGGCTGCCACGGCAGCACCATGTAGAATGAGACTGAGTGTGCTCGATCGGTGTTTATATAGCCGCTGTGGGTGTTATCATGATCATGACATCAACATCACGAAGTGTTGCCCTTCGTACTCCCTGGTTTTGTGAGCGGTTGGTCCGGACGGACAGAACGACACACGCACACACACACCGACAAACCGACACACCAAAGTTCTGGTTTATATAATGAAGTGATAGGCATTTATTCAAGCTTTGTGCAGGTCCGATTATAGCCCCTTTTCATCAAGCAGCATGAAGTTTCCAGTTCCCTATACTAACCGCAACGAAGAAGTCATTACTGCAATCGCTGTGCTATAATATTATTGGGTTGGATCATAATCTTGCAGCGCTTACATGCACCGATTTCTTCGCCTTTAGAAGTCCAGCCTTCTTACCATACGACACTTTCAATCCCCCTTCTTGTTGGCAAAAGCACAGGGATTGCAGTAGTTTTCATTTATCAAAAGAAGCTTTATTTGAACCGAAATACGCGCCTTTGAATTTCATTAAAAACGGCGGCGACTTTCCGAATAATCTATATAAAATAATATTCTTCGTTTTGGTAGGTCTCCCCTTCCAAAATGATCCCGCGTTAAATTTCAGATGATTATGTAGCACAAGTAATCGTTTTCAGTCAGTTTCTGTGATGGATCCACTTTTTTCCGTTTTACTGCCTTTTTTGAGCGATAGCTTTTCGACATATTCGGTGGAAAACTATTCGGTGGAAAACTTATTGCTTTGACCCTACTTGTTTTAGTCCTTCACTCTCAGACACAAAATTGATGCCAACTTTGGCCTCCAACTTTTCGCCTTTTTTGAAAACTCCGCTCTTTTATTTCCTTCATGTTCAAGAAACAACTCACTGGTAGTTCACAGCTGTGGATGAAGTGGCGCCTCAGCAACGGATCGCGTCTGGATATTGGGTGACGAAGACGACTTCATGCGATTTATCTGAGGATAAGCACTGATATAACACATATTTCCCGCAATACACTCGTGTGGCAAAAGGCTATCTTTCAATGTACCTAGGACATTACCATCCATTCGCTGGCTAGAAACAAAAATCGACTACATTCGTACGATTCTTTACAGTCAGGTTGATCGATCACAGAAATGCATTCGATTCTTGCGCAGTCAACAGTCAATTATCACTTGTACACAAGCGGTAGACCGTATGAGGCCGAGAGCTTCGGAGAGGCGTCAACAGATCAACAGCCTTATGGGTAGTCCTAATTTGCGATTTCACTAGGTTGACTATGGAATAATTGCGAGTCTACTTAGCAATGTTGGTTGATATTAGGTTGGGCAGAAATTAATGCGGGTTTTTGACTTCCTTCTACAAAGCAATACATCTCAACTCAAACTCAACATTTTAAGTAATTTTTTAAAAGCGTTGGAAACTAAGCATCTTTCTTAACAAGAAGCATGCTGGATTAATGCACGAACTCGTCAACATCAAGAAAGTTCTTTTCCTTCTCCTGGTTAGAGGCCTTGCTCTTTTCGGGCGCATCACGTCGGTGTTATGGACAGACACTGGTACTATATCAAGTTCGACTGGTTTCAGAAAGCTGTGCTACATCATACTGTTGATGATCTGGAAACAATCAGTGTGGCCCTCACCTTGTGGAATTTCTGCTTTAGAAAAAGTTTTTGATGTTCGCTGCTGCTTGATCTTTGGAAAAGTGCTCGATTCTAGCAAAGAATCCTATTTCCCTCGAAGATGACGAAATGGTTCCAAATCGGATTTATGTTTAGTAAAAAGAGTTGCAACAAGATCCCTGAGAGGTGACTTTGCTGCTGCTCGGTCAGCACATGCGGTACACTTGTACAGCTTTCTTACCTTCCCTGGTGCCATCAGGCGCTCGCGAAAGAATGTTTGGGGGATGCTGCTTAAAGGCAAGATTCGGGATAAAGTAGGTGTGGAAAAGCGTTCAGTTATGAAGTTATAGGTGGGAGGTGGTCTGTAAAAGAGAAAAGAAAGCAAAGGGAAACCACCGATTACGCCCCGTACAGAGACCTCCCCTATTTCAGCCACATTCCACCTTGGAACGGGTGGGATGAGTTTCACGAAAACCTAACACTACTTTTCCTGTGTCAATAACGATGCATCGCGCGGGATCACTTGCCCCTCAAAACGCGCTCGAGTTCAAGCACGTGGCAACCGACAGCGAAGGGTGGGGCTTGCAGGAAGGTGAGTTGCGGGTTGGACGAGCTCCTTGCGCCTTTGTCGCGTACTTTCAAGCCGCAAAAGGGGCCCGACATCAACACTTGTCCACCTGCCTACTACCCCCTGGATGGAACAGGCGAGCGCGCCTGATCGCGGAGCGTGCCTTAAAGGTTATGCTGCTGGCCGTCGTACACCTGTTTGGGATTCCTTCCACCAGATCCACAGAAGGCTGCCGTCAAGGGGAAAGTGTCGTCCGTAACCCCATTTACTTCAATCTAGAGTTCCTTACACCAAAAGCTTCAAAGCCATCAGTGCCGTATGCATCTATTTTATTATCTTGGCTCCACACAGCCATCCTATTCCGAGCTGTCTGCTTAGCACTCTTTCCAAATTTCAACTCATAGAGTGAACTTGCCTACTGCTTGATGTCTTTGATTCAAACCTCTGAAATATAATATAAGGCCTACAGTCTGTGAAAACACAACAGCAGTGTAAGAAAGAGAATGAAATGGGCTTCTCAACGATTTGCAACAGTACAGCATCCGAGAGGAAATCTCGTAATGTGTCTAATAAAGTAAGCAAATCGAAATCACCAGCATTTAATTTCGGCAAACCTATGTACTTGTAGACCGACACTCGGTACGTTTCCTAAGAGCCTCAGTAGTGAAATCGCTATCAGGCTGATAAAGCGCTAATTAGGAATTCAGAAAGGCGTTAGAGAAAGGAATCACTTACATCAATAAATATACGGATAGATGAATCTCACTCTATGACTATACTCAGTATGTCACATAATATGTGTAACCCTGCCGAACAAGGATATTGTGTGTAGTGAGGGTTTACTGCTGTGACGAGCATAAACGACATCTCTTCTTACATTTTTGACAGTAGAACCGCCTTGCTTTTCCCTATTCTTCACTTTCCTTTCTTTCTACACGACCATACCACAATCTCTGCAATCACTTGGCGCGAGTTCAGTCAAAAGATCATATCCGGGGATTAATTTCTAAACTTCTTGTTCTAAGTGAAACAACCACAACATTCCAGAAATTCATCATGCTTTCAAGGACGAAGGGAAGTTCAGCAATTCTTCCATCAAAAAGATTGATACAGTTGCGAATTGGGAAACCCCAGAAAATAAAGGCGTTTGCGCACTATGACTACACGTTTCTTATTCACTGAGTGCTGGCACAAAATAAGTCTAAAACCACTGATGATCATTGTGATTAATCACTCCTAGTTAAGCAATATTGAACTGCCTCCTAAAAAAAGAGCATCTTACTTTGTATGGTGAGGGTGTTGAAGGTGGAGACGAGGTACTCGTCAAACGCATCTGCCTGTCCCATAAACTTCAGAAGCGCCATCAGTCCGGAACCGATATGGCTGTTGAGCTGTAAAACATCTGCACTTGCTCGGGTACAGGAGAATAATACGTTTCTCTGTTTGATTTTCTTGGCATGAAGACAATTCCAGAAAGAGTATCGTTCTATATTATGACATATCTTTGATGAAAAGCTCCAGCCGAGCAGCCTTTTTGAAGGATCTGGAGGTTTAGGTAGCAACCAGTTCAACAAAGCTGATCTACTTGGAACCTTGTCGAAAAGTATTGCGAAAGAAATCGCTGTAGAAGCATTCGGTCGCAACTTTTGTTGTTTGGTGCGAAAATATAGTCACATTGTGACTATTTCGGAAGAGCAATTAGAATCGCTGCAATCACTTGGGAAACCCTGGATATCCTCACTTTGCGTTGTGGAAACGGAACAACTACAATGACATGGATGATGCCCATTGTTAGATATGGGTGATTTCGGCACGAATTACAGCTACTGGGACTTTTGGGCACGCTCCGACGTTACGCAGCAGCAGGCATGCAGCAGCTTCGCAAGGATTAAATTTACTCGACCTAAAGGGAACTCCGGCACTTAGAACACCCGCATGCCAGAAACACGCCGAGAAGGGACCTTCGCTAATCGCCATCTCTCATATTTGTTTAAAAAAAAGGTCAAATGATAAGAGGTATATTTGAGGATTATTTTCTGTGGACAGAACCTCGCTGCAGGAATACTGATCTGACTTCAGAGCGACAAAAATGAGGCCCGCAAAGGAAGGACGATTCAGACCAGTATCATGTCAATGTGCCTGTTGTTATCCCTGGGTTTTGACCAAATGCTAAGTTGCCGACATCAATCCACTAGGCTACTACACTGAAGAGCGAAGTTCACGCTCCAAAACACACAACAAGTGAAGTTTTGATCAGGTCTCTGAATAAAACCCGTTGTAAAATTACCCAGCAAATCCTGCACAATAAGTGGAAGCGTACTCCAGGGGTATGAAAGCTGTAGCTCGTGTATGAGAAACTCATATCTAATGACCTTGCAACTTTTCCGGTATTAGGGTGTAAAATGAACACGTGCAAAAATTCATCACGTTCCAAAGCAAATTCTGCGTTTGACTTGGATGTCCCGTCACCCTTTTATGGCGCACTATGTGCAGACATTACTCCAGATAGACCATTGAACGATAGCAGTACTTTTCATCTTTCCAATAACACCGAAATAACCTGACCCAACAGGTAAGGTTGGAGCTGCCTCCGAACAAACAAAAACAATGCTTCTTCACAATTTTTCGCCCCCATGATAATGTCGTCCCTGAACCATGGAACAAAGAAGAAACTTGTGCACAGTATGTACAGGTCCTTCTAAAGTTTGAAAGAAAACGAGCAATTGTGAGATTTTTAGCAGTTTTCACGATGCTTTTGTAATTTAAATACGCTTACCATAGCAAGGACCTGGTCATTCCTAATCATCCTGTTTCGTACCTCCTCGCTCGAAAGCGGGCAACTGACCTGGGAATGAACAGAGTGGTGTGCGTGTGTAACAAAAAGAATCCGACCTTATAAGTGGCGGATAACGACTAAGTCATCCGCGCGACGTCCCCTGCAATGCGGTCGTTGCCTGCCATCACAATAGGGACCTCTTGTCCATTCTTGGGCTAAACTAACGCGACAAAAGAGTGGAGCCCAGGGTTTAAGTGGTGTTCTCTTCCTGTTTCCATATGTCGAATGTAATTATCCCCATTATTTAGGTTAGATCGTTATAATATTGTGAAATCCCTCTTTTCTCATTGTACCAACGTGTTTTCGAATTACCTCAGCTTGGGAGAAAGTACTTTGAATGACGACCGCTAGCGAACGCTGATCCGCACTGAACTGATTGGACGACGGCACATTGCACGACACTGGAAAGTTGAGGAGAAGAGTGAAAAATAGCAACAGTCGAAAAAATGCAGAAGCAGATTGCAGGCACTCACAAATTTCACAGTGATCACCCCCGTAACCGACCGGGCATGCACAGAGCTGTCGACCGTTTCCGGGGAACTGTTCTTGCACGCCCCCGTTCATGCAAACAGGCGTTCCGCAGTTCGGACCTTCGAAGAACGAGGTGCAGTTACAAGTAGGTCCGCTCTGTACTGATCCGCCATTGAAGCAGTTGAATGGAACGGGAGCGGGATGATCCGAAAAGAAATTCTGTTCAGGTCAATCGTTTTGAAAAAACTTCGATGAAAATGTTCAATCAATTCGGTATAGCTGAATAGAACATAATATACCTACCAGGTCGGGCACAAAACCCCGGAACCAGTCGATGAAAAATGTTAGTTCCGTCCGAAAAAGTGAGTTCTTGTCTGAAACATTCAGTTCGCTCAAAAAACAATTACTGACATCGTCAGCTATAGAACCGTCGATAACGGCGATTCCCAAAACCGCCATCCCTTTATTGGAGTATCTTGTTAGATATCTTATGCCGTAAGAGGTCGTTGTATTTGTTAGTTCCTCCTTAGTTGCAACTGACTAACGCTCTTGTGTGGCAGCGAACTTCTCCGCTCAGAGGGTGGAACCGACGGTGAGTTTATTTCTCGCGCTGTTCTGATCTTCTCGAGGGGTTTCTGACACGATGTCGAAACCGCTAGAGTTGATGAGGCGCTTGGTGGTGTAGAGCGTAAGTCTAACGCTTGAAACACGTTCAGGCCTCTGAAGATGAC